TTTTATCTAGAATCAGATATGGACATTTCTGGTTGGGCTAGCAGCACACGAGTCAGAAAGTCAGTAGGGGGGCGACCGGACTCGAACCCATGCCCAGCTGGCCCGAGCCAGCGCCTCAACCAACTGACTCATCGCTTTGACGACGGAGCGCCCCAGTCCAGCTCACTGTTGATAGTGGCAGCTGGACTGTGCCCGAATGACCTTTTGACTCTCGTGCCGCTTTCGACGCATCCGTGCAACACTGGCGAATCTGAAAAGGACGGACGAACAAAGGCGAATCTGAAAAGGACGGACGAACAAGGGCGAATCTGTTTCGGACGGACGAACAAGGGCGTAACCAACATTTGACGATTTTGAGATTTTTATGCCAACATATCAATTGAAACCTCCTCTTTCTAACCGCACTCACGAAAAACTTGAAAAAAAATCTTAAATCCATAGTTTTGTCGGAAAACCAAAGGGCGTATCTGCACGGGCGCGCGAATACGGCTTGCAACAAAGGCGGATCTGGACGGCCGCGCGAGTACCGCGAGCAACAAAGGCGGATCTGCCTACGCCACTGGCTCAGTAGCGCAGTGGCAGCTTGGCAGCAGCGCGACGAGGTGGGGCGAGGCCGTTGCTGGGCGCCCTCCAGACCCTAGAGGTGCACTCGGTGGCGACGCACCGGCCGGGCAGGCCGCGCTGCAGCATGACCTCGTGACCCTGGCTCTGGACGAGGGGCGGCTGACAAGGCCCTGGCGTCGGCGGGGAGGGAGCGTGCAGCATGACCTCGTAATCCTGCATGTGCAGATGCTGTGTTTTTTTCAAGACCGGATGATTAGGCAACCCACCCGAGACACCAGTGTGGCGGAGCGAGTGATGCCTACCCTCTCGCTCTTAGGTCTGACCGATGACGGCGTTACAAATAATGAACATATGCTTTAGCGGCACTTTGGTTTTGGTGTCCTTCATGATGTCATTATTTTGTAATCTTCGTTATAACTTTCGAACTATATGTGTTAGCAAAATGTCACTTTAGCAAAAGCTGTTCAGAATTTTGCAGGGATTAAAATGAGACACCTCCTAGTTGAATACGACATAACTGTGAATTGTGAGAGGCCTTCAAAGTTCATTTCTTTAA